ATGCCACCTTCGTGTTGCAGGTCGGGCAATAATGGGCATACTGCCTACATACTGCACCATTCTTGACACGAAACTCTCGCCCGCAGTGTCCTTGTGTTTGCACCTTTCCGGTAACTATGGTGGATTTTGTAGCTTTGCCGCAAGCTGGACAGACATACGTTCGTAGTGTGGTATTTGTTCCTTCTTGGCATCCTTTCGTGTCCTCTTTTGTGGTTTCTGGCAAATCGATTGCAGTGGTGGCTTTCTCCTCTTTAGCGCGCAAGTTCTCGGCAATTGATTCCCACGTTTCGCGCAGAATTTGGCGCAGGCGAAGCCTTTTGCGCAAAGGTTGTAGACGTTGTAAGCTGGATCGGGCAGCCTGCTTACGGAGAGTCGCTTGCACGACAAGGGCACGGCAAGCATTACACGTTTGCCTGCCATTCTGGCCGCCGCCGGGGCGCATGTTGCTGTAATGGGAAAATTGTTGCGCTGGCAATTTTCGGTGGCAGTGTGCGCATTTCCATTTTCCCTTTTTTTGACAATGCAAGCATACCCTCCTCTCTGGTTTGCTTGCTTTCCATGCTGGCACAGTGAAATATTCTTTTGTGAGCTTCTTCGTGCAAGAAAAACATTGTTTCATTGCATCACACGATAAGCAAACTCTGTAAAGACTCCACCGCGGATTTTGATGCTTGCTTGCAAAGTGGCATGCAGCGTGCCAGAGGCCGCACTGTGTGCAGCGGTAGGGTGTGCCTGCCTCGCGCTTCTGCGCGGTGCATTCTTTGCAGACGCGGTAGGTTTCCTGTTTCCATTGTGCTTTGGTGAACGCATCTTTGCGCTTCATCTCCCCACATTCGTAGCACGGCCTTTCATCCAAGTACTTCTTGCGCAACGCGTCCCAGTCCACCGGCTCCTGTTTCCACACATCAAGCAGCAGTTGCCGTCCGAGCGGCAGACCTGCTTGAAAAGGTGCCAGCGGGAACGGACGGTAGATCAAGATCTTCTGTCGTGTGCGGCTCCGCGTCATCCCAATGTACGCCGCTATTGGGTCAGCACCGACCATGTCAACGATCACGCCCGGCTCTATTGTGCTTCCTTGCGCGCCGTAGAACGTGTCAGCGAAGTCGGGCGCGATGGGAAATTGGCACCGGGTGACTTTCAATTGTGGGTTGGTGCGGCCCGCGTCCAAAAACCACATTCCACTTTGCACGCTCACTGGGAAGACGTTCTCTTGATCGATGCCTGGGATAGTCCACCGTGTGCGTGTTTCAAAACGCACAAAGATATACTCGGGAAGTTTGTTCCAAATGACTGCTCCATCTGCCGACGCTGTTTCTGTTTCAACGCGAGACCACCCGCAAACTGTTCCATGACACCCTTTCAAAATCTTGAACTCCTTTCGGTAGAGATGTTCTCGCGCTTGCACTGGCATACCAATGCACAGTGGAAGGACGCCGTACCGGTTGCCGCAGTCAGCGTCGCTGCGCTGCAGCCACATGAGCTTGTCGTGGGCAATGTCGGGTTTCTCGTGCAAAGCGCGCGATGAAACTTTGTCCGTAGCCACTGCATAGTAGATGACTTGCCCGCGCTGTCGCGCCCATTGTTCTGCGCGCAATTTATTTACGTGGCACTTCACCCCGTTCGTGTGAAAAATCCCCCGCGCCATGCTGAAACCTTCTACGAAGCGAGGATCGTCTGCGTCCACGGCAACTAGACGCTTGGTATCCCGCTCAGCGTGACAGATTGGACATTCGTACTTGAGAATCGCTGTCGCTGTGGAGGCGTTTTTGTACAACTGATAACATATGTTTTCTTGACACATAGGCCGTTGCGTCCTAGCGCACCAACTTCCTGGAACCTTTGTTGGTCGACCATGCAAGAATGCATGGTTGTCTTCGGACAAGTGCCCCACGCGAAGTTCTGCTTGCAGGTCCTGGAGCCACACGTCTTGGGTTCGCTCGCAGCGCACCAATTCGGTAACTCCTTGTAAGCCACCCTGTGCGCTGGAGGCCCATACGAGCTGTTGGCCTTGCAAACTCAGTGGCAACTTCTTAGATGGGACGCCTGTCACAAGGTGCCAGGGAATTTGACCGAGAAACGTTCCACGCGGTGGAGGTAGCTGCCACAGGTCGCCCGAGAGAATGATATTGAGGCCACCGAAGGGTGCAATGCAGTCAGGGGTATGTTTGCCATATTTTGTGGCAGATAGATCTAAAACAAGTTGCCGACAGCGAGCTTCGAGACGCGCTAACATCTCAGCACTCACCATGCTGATTTCGTCGATCAGCAGCCAGCGCCACTGCACGGCCTGTTGTGCAAGATTAAGAATCCTTTGCGCGTCGACGTTGTGATCGTTGCCGTGCCAAGCCAACCCCAATGCTTGATGCATAGTTTCGCCGTCCAAAGGCTCGGCATTGACAGCTTGAAATGCGACAACTTGAAATTCCTTTCCTGCTCTCCATCCAAGGCACTCCTCGAACAAATCGCGCCGTGCTATGTTCAACACGTATGACTTACCTGTGCCTGGGCCGCCATGAAGCGCCCAGCGCAACGCTTCGGTATTGGTGTCTGCCGCGCCGCCGCGCTCTTGTCCGGACACAGCTTCGTGTTTCACCCGGGCGCAGATGGTTTCGATGAATGCTAGCTGTTCCGGATTGCATTTGCTCGTTCCGCGCAAGTCGCGTAGGAAGGCATCGACTTTCTCACATGTTGCTCGTGCCTCGGCTTCGCATGTGCCCCGCGTGGGAATCTTTCGAACTGCAACTTTGTCGGCTTTTTTTGTGTTTAAAGCTTTGATTGCCCGACGAACTGCGGCTGGATCGTGTGCATGGAACGCATTGTTGCTCTGCGTCTTTGTCTTCGTCACGCACATAGCCCTTCGTGCATGATCCTGCATGTGATAATGCATTTGCCAAAGTTTCTCGTCACACAGCTTGCCTGTTTCACCAGCAATCCCCGATTCTTTACCGGGGTCGGCGGCAGGGGCGGCAGCCCTTAAATATAATTATATATATGTAATATGCAATACAGAGACATATGTAGCAATATGTGTATGTATGTGTGTGTTTGTCAAAAAACATGATGATCATATTATATTGATTAATAGTAATGGCTTTGAAACTACTCATAAATGATGGTGTGTAATGGGATCTAATCAGCATCTGTACTGTGATGGTTTTGTCCAGAAATGGGATTTACCCTAACGGTTAGCCGCCCGCAATGGGGATAGATTGGGATATGATAACCAACAAATATGATGTATGGCTTGCCCAGAAATTATACGTGTACCCCAGACATTGATATTTTGGCAGAATGATGATGGTTACATCGCTTGGATTGTTGGACAAAGCCCAGGCCCAGCTTTTCGTAGGGTTTGAGGCTATGATCTGTCGTGGGACCCAGCAGTGACGAGTCGCCAAACCAATAGAATCAACCAAGGTTGGTAAAGAAAAATGCGTCAAAAAAACCCTGGGTAGCACCAAAATCATGGGGGATTCCGAATTCTATAACCCAGATGTTCCGTATACATGGAATGTTCAAGTTGAGCTAGGTCCGTTGCAGGGGTTTGAACCAAACAATATCGTACGCACCGAATGAAGCAGGGATGTCCGGGACACAAGCAACAAATTGAACATGTTTCCCAATCATTTAAGAGCCAGAACACCGTTCCTGATGGCTTATATTAAATTCCAAATGCGGGAAGGAAAGACAAGCAACATCAAACAACTATGAATGTAATAAATCATAATAAAACCAACGACGGATTGATTTTTAATGGGTACATAATAAGGAAAAAACATGAAACACATATCTGGTTGGTGGTATACCTACCCCTCTGAAAAATATGAGTTCGTCAGTTGGGATTATGATTCCCAATACATGGAAAAATTAAAATTCATGTTCCAAACCACCAACCAGCATATCTTCATGTCTTTGTCCAGATTCCCCTCTGCTGTTGGCAAACCCAGCATTTAAAAAGGGGTGAAATTTCTCACCGATGGCTGCCATCCGACTCACCATCATGGTGATCTGCTCCCAACACCAAATGGGGGTTTCTTAAAATGAAGGAACCGCCATGGGCGGGTTTCAAGACTCAGATTGTCTAATGACTTGAAGATTTGGGGTACGAAACCTCCAAATACAAGAGAGAAACACTAGGTACATCACATCCGCCGTGTTTTGGGGATGTGCTTTGTCCCACTGCATGTTCGAGGTAGGCTTAGGCTGTAGATCTCATTCCGCTGGAATGTTTGCTTTGCTTATATCTCTTGCCATAGCTTCCAATCAGTCTCAGCTCTAGATTGGTTTACCCTCTGGTAATTTAACATAGCTATGGAAAATCACCCTTTTTAATGGGAAAACTCACTATAAATGGCCATTTTCAATAGCTTTTTGTATGTTTACCAGAGGGTATCCCATTCTTGAGTCTGCTATACTGTATCCAGATCTTCCAGTTTAAGCTTGTTCTGGAGATTAAGCCCTGAGGTTGTAGCTATAGCTCGATTTTTTGCTCTGAAAAAACTACAGAAAATGGAGAGAAGAGAAGATAATCGGAACTGGAATCAGGATTGGAAGTAGAATAGGAATAGGATTTTTAAACCAGAATGAGAATTTGGATTTGACAAAAAAGCAAACAAAATTGTTAATTAGACTTGAAAAAGAATAGACCCCATGTGTTTCGATAGGAATTAGAAACATGATAATATTAAGAAGTAGAATAGAGGCCAGAGGAATAGCAGGACGCTTTTAAATAAAACGGACAGAAATTGGTGGGCTGATAGATATCCCTATAATCGCTATCATAATCTCCAATAACTACTTGATGATAATATTCCACCCCCCTGTATCATACCCAATCCGCCATCATGTCTCAATCATATCTCCATGTCATAGCTAAGATCCCATAAAACAATTTGCCAAACAATTTGCCAAACAACAATACTTGATGGTTAAGTCAAGTTTCCTCTTCCATAAACACATTTAGATCATCTCAGATCGCGATTTGAAATCACGGCCATGGATCATCCGTGCCGACGTTCCGTGGCCTTCAAGCGTTCCTCCGGCTTCAACACACCGTTGGAAGGCACCACGTCCACCACGAAGGGGCGGGAGACACCAGAGAGGTTGAAGTTGAAACTGGCCTTGGAGCGCTTGGAGCGCAAGGTGACCCATGGTGACCCATGATTTGGATGGAGGATTTATGGTGGTTTCAGTGGTTTCACCAACCAAAAAAAAAGGGTGTTGTTAAGGGATGAGTAGTGATTTATGGTGGTTACAATATGTTACAAGGTGTTAATTTACAGTCATTACTGTGGGATTACTATGGTTTAACCAACCACATTCGGGGATAGTGTGTATAAATAACATTAAATAACTACAAATAGCAAACCTTGCTGTAGTCTTGGGGAGTTTACATGTAGCACCCCAAAAAAGAAAAGAATGTGATCCTACTAAAAGGTGTCAGGCTGGTAGAAACACGCAATACAAAATGCATCTTTGATGGTTTGAGAGGTTGGGGGGTGGGAGGGGCGCACTAACGTCCGCCCCTGTTGCGTCCATGTCATTTTTCAACCATTCTTAGGTCTTGCTCGTGTGCATACACATGAATGACGTCCTCCAAAGAATGATTGAATCAATGGAACGGATTGTGGTAAATCGTAGATGAATGGACAATGGATGACATTGCACAATGTCGTGTGCATCTTGGAATCGGTTCTGCCAAGTGCCAAGTCCCAGCAATTTCTCTGATGGCAATCCCTGCCAAAACTGTGCACACCTTATGGGTCTTTTGACCCTGGGACCCAGATGGTACCCTAAGTCGCAACTGGTATAGCTGGATGGTCCCCAAATATGCTACCCTCTGGTAAACATACAAATAGCTATGGAAAATCACTATTATTCATGGGAAAACTCACTATTTCAATGGCAATGTTCAAGTTCGCAAACTCGTAGGTTTTGACCCATCCCCATGTCATTTTCACACCGCCCGCGATTCTACCGTATTCAAATGGTGGTAGATTGAAGCTCTTCTATCTTTTTTTGGGGGTTCAACTGTAAAGGGGGATGGTGCCCAATTAGTTATGTATATATATATATATATGTATGGGTTTTTACTTGAATGGGATTCTTACTCTTCACTTCATCTTACTGGTAAGAGAAAAACTACAGAAAACCATAATTCTTGCGAATAAACATAGGGGGTTCAACTGTAAATGGTCCCCCTCTGAAAGTATTGCAGTTTGAACCTTTCTGCTCAGCCAAGGGCCAAAAACAAGCACCCTGTCTGGAGCAGTGATGACTGCCAGCTGGTGATTTTACATAGCCATGGAATCCATGGCCCATTTATATCCATTTATAATTTACAGCTGATGAATTCCAGGCAATTTATTCAAATCATTCTGAACATCCGTTCATGGTGCTTCCCATGGTTATCAAAAATTGTGAACCACTCATGGTTCTCCCGCATCTACGGCGTGGACCTCTCCAGAGACCTCCAGAGACCATGAGGCTGGGCCACCCTGCTGGCACTTGACCCTTGTTGGAGAGGTACAATTCGGTTTCACCCACCTGGGAGGGGACGCGTCGTCTCACTGTTGGCTTTCACCGTTGGGCCCTTGGGAAAATTGAATGCCTCAAAATCTATGCCGCAAAACATGGGAAAAGTGGTTTATGGTCATCATTTCCCATAATGGGAATGCAAACATGATAGGTTGTTTGAATCTCTAATAAATGGATTCATGACCATCCCCCGATATGGGTCTAAAATCCAACTGTGGACCATGGCACATAGAATTCTCAAATGAAAATAATAGCAATATCGTAATAGTACAAAATAATCCCTTCATCCTAATACTAAACGCCAATCTGAAATTTTCAAAAATTGGAGATGGACACTAGTTTTTAGTATTTGGGCGGGGTTTAGCATTAGGAGGAAGGGATGATTCCATGAATATCCAATAGATATTCCCTGAATAGTCCATAAGTATCCCATATTCCAATTTTTATATCCCATCATGGGATCCCACATTCACCAAACATCCCTAAACACCCCAAACAAAGCCTGGAACCCAAGGGGATAGGACTCTTCATTGAAAAAGGCTCTGGTAAGTCTTAAAATGTCATTAGTGGTAAAGCCCTAACAGACATCTAACAGATGTTAATGCATCTGTTAGATCATTATTGGAATATGTGGGGGGATTTCCCTGAGATAATACATATATGTTATATTACATAATATATATTACATAATATAATGTATATATATATATATATCTGAATTGATGCCAATAATTCCCATCTCCAGTCTTCGCTCCCAACCCTCTGCCTCGGTAAAGGGAATGTCCCCAAAGTCCAGCTCAGTCCTGAAGAAAACCGCTGTCGGCGCTGTCCATAAAAAGATATGAGCTACCTCCAAAACTCTATTGCCCCAAAATGGAATATCTATTTTTCCTTCGTTTTAAAGGGTCACCTTCGTTTTACAAGGGTTTCGACCAAACCTTCACAGATATACGTGCGATATCGCGCAATCATCATTTCAATGGCAGCAGCAATGGGAAAAGTTATAAAAACAGTGCCAGGATGTGCTAGGATTAGTACTGTGACTCGTAGAAGCGACAAAGGTGCTAGAAGAAGCAACAGTGGCAGCGCAAGCAGCAGGAGCAGGAGCAGTAGCAGTAGCAGCGGAGTAGCACTAGCAGTGGCAGTAGCAGTGGCAGTAGCAGTGGCAGTAGCAGTAGCAGCAGCAGTAGCAGTAGCAGCAGCAGTGGCAGCAGCAAGTGACAGCAGTGACAGCAGCGACAGCAGCGACAGCAGTGACAGCAAGTCACAGCAGCAGCTACCAGCAGCTACCAGCAGCTACCAGCACCAGCACCATCAGCATCAGCATCAGCAGCAGCTGCATCAGTAGCAGCAGCAGCAATCGCGGTGATGCAGGCGCTGTTGGTGCTTTGCTGGTGCTGGTAAGATAAATGCCTGCAGCAAAAGCACAACTAGGCCCTGCAGTGGCAATGGTAGTTGTCGCAGTAGTAGCAGGATGGGGAAGAAGGTTTGCCTGCTCCTGGCCAGGTTCATGCGAAGCTGTCGTGAATTTTGCCTTCGTTTTTGCCTTTGTTTTGGCTTCGTTCCAGAACGCAAAACCAGACGGGAAAACGAAACCGCAGGATGAAAAGAATACTTGCAGGCGGAAAGCAGAAACTTGACAAAATGCAAATGCAACAGGAAGAAAAACAAGATAGGAAAAACAAACGGGACCAACAGAAAGAAACGAAGGCGGAAAGGAAGCCAGCAGAAACTGTCACAGGAAAGGCATGAAAGCAAGAAAGGAAACAAAAGGAAGACAAGGGAAAACAGGTAAAGACCAAACGACAATAACTCCATGATACACCATTCTTATCCATTCTTGACGTTCGCTGCTCAAATGGAAATCTATCAACAAACTTTAGTTGTAAGATTTGCCTTCGTTTTAAAGGGTCACCTTCGTTTTTGCAGGTTTTGAGCTATATTCCATTCCAATACATATCCCTTACATAGACCTTTTTGGTGGTAGCCCATATGGGGGTTTCCTAAAATGCGGGTACCATGGCATCATGGGGTACCTCGAAATGGATGGTTAAAACATGGAAAATCGAAAAAAAAATGGATGATATATGGATGATTTGGGGGTACGATTTGGGGGTACCCATGACTTAGGAAACCACCTAATCTAAAAAGTACTACTACAGTTGCTGAGGCCTCAGTGATTTTTTAGTAACAAAAAAGTCAACTCTTCAACTCTGGTCACCGTGGTAGACAATGGTATAGACATATCGAAGGATCGTCAATGGGTTTATACAGTAAACCAACAAACATTTCACTGCTGGGATGCTCACCTAGACCTGGGGATTTCTCCGGCACAGTTCAACTTCCCAGGCACAAAAGCCCACTTCTCAATTGAAGAATCCCACTACAAAATAGAACACGTGTATAACATTCACTTGTAAAACTATGTAAAACTAGTGTTTTGTAAAACATAGTGTATAACATTATAGTTTCTCAACTTGTGTTGCTGAAGCGACTAGGACTATAACATTGTAAAACTAGTCACTAGTCCTTCAGCAACTAAGTCAATGACCCCATTTCGCTGCGCGAAATTCATGGAAGTTTTAACATCACAATGGTAGCCACCTCTAGTCCTTCGACCCAGTCCTGTCCAAGCTGAATTTGCATGGTGCCGCCGTGCCTTTCAATGCCACCTGAAAAAGGGGTGACAGGTAGCCACTCTGGGCTTGGAGATTGACTACCCTCTGGTAAACATACAAAAAACTATGGAGAAAATCACCATGCTATTAATGGGTAAATCCACTATTTCTATGGTCATTTTCAATATAGCAAACTGTTAGTTTACCAGAGGGTATGAGTCAAAACCATTATAAATGGAGGTTTTATTGGGAAAATCATCTGTAAATGGTTCATTTTCCATAGCTTTTACTGTATGTTTACCAGGCCGGGCAACAGAAGCGCCACAGTTCCAAACACCTTAAACCGTGGCGGCCCACCGTGAGGCCCCGGAGGCCTCGTACTCCGGGCCGCCGTCCACCATACAGACCGCAACGGCCCGGAAGGAGCGATCCCGTAATGCTTCGTACCTGGGAAATCATCGGTGTGACGCAGAATGACCAGAGATCATTCAGAGCTCCAAAAACGATTCATTTTACGAATATTTACATGATGATTTTCGCTTAAGTGATTCACCGATCAAAAAATGCATCCAACATCATCCGTCATTTATAACAGTTTGATATGGAAAACCCATCAGAAAAAAAGATGGGTAGGATCGGTAGATCATCTACTTTCACGGGCGATTCCATAGCTATGTGCAATTACCATCCAGGAAGGGAGTCCTGATGTTTTTTTTCATGGGGATGTTTTTTTTGCCCCAGGTCAATGACCTCTGCGAAGTTCTTGTTCATGATTTTTTGTGGCGAAGGTTCGCCCTTTTTCAAACCCCTCTATCAATGGATTGGTTTAAGGGAAAATCTACAGGAAACCATAGATTTTCCCAGTAAATATGGGGGTTTTCGGTTCCAATTTTCCCTTAAACCAATCCATTGACTCTAAGATTTTTTAAAATAAGGGTGCTGAAATGTTCAATGTTCAATCTGATCAAGGTATGAGAGCTTGTTCAATCGTCATTCATTGTTTCTGGGAGGTGGATTAGGCAAGGATCCCGCTCGAAAGGGCTGATGTCCACTGCTAGTATGAGACTACTGTCACCATCCAATTGCACATACTCCCCATCCACTCCACTCTTGGAACTCCTTTTTCATCTTTCTAGATCAAGTCTAGTATGTTTGGACCCTCATTTCAAGTTGCTAATACAAATCCTATATATAATGTGGTAAGCCCATAAGCATACAACATGTGGTATATTTTTATAGAAATCAATATTTACATCGATATTTTTCCACCCAAATCTACATGCTATAAAACATGGTCATGGTCCGGGATGGTTTGTGACATTGGCTTTACCAAACGGTTTACCACATGAATCACCGACCATAACTCCCATGTCCGCGCACGTGAAGGTGGCCACTTGGGTCTCTCCGGGCTCCAACTTGCCATAGATGGGCAAGATGTCAAAGACCTTCACGGGTGGATGATGTTTCGTTTGGGACTTTTTGGGGAAAACACATACCCATAGGATCCATGGTGCTGCCATATATGGTAACATTTACCATCAATATACCCCAGTCATGTTAGCATATATACCATACATGGATCCTATGGGATATGATATTTCATGACTGGTTGGTGGTTTCAACCTACCCCTCTGAATTCTGAAAAGTTCGTCAGTTGGGATGATGACATTCCCAATTAATATGGAAAGTCATTCAAAATTCCATGGTTCCAGTCACCACCAACCAGATATGTCACGGTCATTGAGAACGATATCAGGTGGCTTTTATGTTGATGAATTCACTATGGAACTGCTCGAGGATGTTTCGTTTGGTTGGGACTTATTGTTTGGGAAATCATTGGATATATACCCGGCCTGGTAAACTAACAGAAAACTATGGAAAATCACCATTTTTAATGGGTAAATCCACTATAAATGGTCATCTTCAATAGCTATGTTATTTTACCAGAGGGTATGTCATGGGAAATGTTTACTAAAGTTGGGTTGATGTTTATGATTTCATGTTGACATTGACCAGCTGGGTAGTCTGATATTTCATGGGAATTGTTGATAGGATGTTTTGCCATAATCAGCAATCGTAATCTTGCAATAAATGATGTTTCAACGGATTAAGGTTTCAATCAACTTACAGTATATAAATAGGGTCGGAAACAATCTCAAAGTGACCCATAGTGACCCGCAAGAAAACATGTGTGGCAATGCTGGTAGGGGGATGAGACTGGGATGGTTAGTTAGGACCATATTTGTGGTGGGAAAAAAAACATTTGCCAACTTGGCCCGCGGCAATGTAATCACAACCTTTTATATAATGTGGGTTAGGACCATATTTGTGGTGGGAAAAAAAACAAAACATTTGCCAACTTGGCCCGCGGCAATGTAATCACAACCTTTTATATAATGTGGTGTGCACCCAATGCCATAAACAACTACCATGACTGGGGATGGTTTCAATCCCATCAAAATTCTGATTTCGGGGATGGTTGATGGCATTGGGTGCACACCACATTACCCAACATAGTCACCCCAAGTTATCCTGGAAATTGAAGACTTCGCTATTGAAACCATGGCCGAACTCCTTGAGATTTACCCATTCACCAGTGAGTTCCCGTTTTTTGAGCCGTAATTTACATAGCAGAAACCTGTAGAAATAGTTGATTTACCATGATTTATCTATCAAAAATGGTGGTTGTCCATCGTTTTTTGATGTTTTTTGTATGTTTCCCGTGGCTACGATCCGTCGTAGCCAGGGTGATGCCTGGCTCAGGTCCACGTCTTGCGCGTCCGGACTCGGACTGGAGTGGAGCGAAAAAAAGGGCGTTTTGGGCTGGACTGGTGACGACCCCGAGCTTTTTGTCACACGAAAAAGGGGAATTTAGCAACAGAAACTGGGATTAAAGACGTGACAAAATGAGGATTCAAGTCAGAAAAAGTAGGATTCAAGTCGGAAAAAAAGTTGATTGAACTATTGAACTAGCAACAATTGGGATTCAACCAATAAAAAAGGGTCGTTCACCAGCAAAATTATGGGTTTTTGTATGTTTTTGTGGTGAACCAATCTCAGATAACCCGAAAAATTAGACTTGATATCAATATGACCAATCCATAATATTGTATATTTGAAACAACATTTGAAACCATATTTGGATTATCAACCTTATATTGGAATATTAACCGCATTTCAAACATGGTCACATGGTTAACCTGAATATAAAATTAACATAAATTAACAATATTTGAAACCACGAACACTAAATCACGATATGGATGCTTCTCAAAATGAGGGTATAAGTTATAAACTATTGGTTTCCAATGGATATGACCAAATATGGATCAGTTTGGCGCTTTGGCGGTGTCCCATGTTTCCCTCATTTTAAGAAAATCTCATACGGATACGGGTGTGTCGGAAACTTGGTTGCGGGACTCCGAAGTTCATGGTCGATCATCCGTTCCCGCATGAGAAAGCTTGCACTTCCGGGGCAACCATCTGGGTAAATTGTGATATTTCACTAACCTGAATCTTGCGGCCATTTGGGGATGATTTCCCTTATGAACCATGATTCCATTGAGTGAGAACAGTCCGGTCGTTATAATTTACCCAAATCTATTATTTTCAGACAGACCCATGCTGTTGCAGTTCCAGTTGTAAGTTGGTATAGACCGTAGTCACACGGGTATTTTTCCAAACGTATGGGACAAAATCACTGCTAACTCATAAAGTTCACCTCAATTGCACCCCCAAGTATGGTTATTACATGTTAGTACCCACTTGCAATTGATGGGCTATAGATTCTTACTGGACTCTTAACTTTGTGATCCACTATTATATAGTGATAATAATAACTATGCCATATGCCCTTAAAATCATCGTGCGCTGTCGAGTCACTGCCGTAGCGGCCTAACGAAAAAATCTCACCCAACAAAATGAAGGTTACCCTCAACAAACATAGCTCTTGAAAATAGCCATTTGGTTCGTGGATTTACCCATGTTCATAGCATGGTGGATCTTTCCAGTTCGATATGTAAACGTTTACCAGAGGGTAAACCTCCATTTTCCTATGGTTTTCCTATGGTTTTCCCATTAAAACCTCCATTTTCATATGGTTTTCCTATGGTTTTCCCATTAAGTCATCTTAAATCCCAGGTGATTCATCCCCACTTTGGTTGATGAAATCGATGAAATCCCAGGATTCCCAATTTGTCGCCTGGTCGCCAAGCTTGCCCAACTGGCCGAAGTGGACACAGGGCTACTTGGGGCCTCGGCCAACCAGTGATGGGGTAAAACATGGTCAAACACCATGTTTTTGTGGATACCCTCTGGTAAACTAACATAGCTATTGAAAATCACCATCTTTAATAGGTAAATCAACTATAAATGGGCCATTTTCAATAGCTACGTTAAATTACCAGAGGGTACTTGGAGGGATTTTCCTCGCTGAAAGCAGAGGCACCAGCATGGCCAGTCGGGTGTGGCAGCATCCCCAGGCATTGTCATAGCCGAGTCAGAAGCAGCTTGGCAAGTGGAATCAGAGACTGTAGGGATGTATAATATAATATAATATAATATTTGAAAAAAATATAATATGATATGATACATTGTAATAGCATGTAATACCGTAGGGAGTATAATAGGGATTATAACGTAGTTTATGGGGACTAAGCATCAACAATTTCATTAATGGAATACTGACTAATCGCATCCTCCTATAAACACCCTCTCAAACGGTCCCTTTTTTTGTGGAAATCCAGGATTGTTTACCATGGTTTTGGAATTGGGGGTCTTTTTCTTTTGAACGGGGTAGAATTTTCCGATGGATATAACATGAGGAGAAACAATTGAGCAGTGTTCTTTCAAGTCGGACTCCCTGGCCTTTTTGAACATATGATCTCCAAAGTTGGGCAGGGGACCCAGGGTCGATTCGTGACTTTGGGGGAGGGTAATATGGGTATAATATGGGTATAGTGCAACGTACACAATTATATGAAAATTTTTAATAACATCTGATCAACTTCAATATATCTGGATATCTCAATTTAGCAAGAAGCAGCAGGATGTGTCTGTGTACCGAAGTTGGACATGGCTCAGTCATCCAGTCTTTTGATCTCAAGACTTGAGAGCCAAACAATTTTAAGCTTTATACGGACGTACATATATAATAGATCATAGATCATAATAGATCATAATAGTACTGGTACCCTCTGGTAAACTCACATAACTATGGAAAATCACTATTTATAATGGGTACAGTAAATCAACTATAAAATGCCATTTTCAATAGCAAACTGTTAGTTTACCAGAGGGTGCAAGGTGAGGCCCCCACAGTCATGTTGGTTGTTTTTTTAAAGCCCACATCCGGAAAAAATATCCATGAATATCCCCCGAATGAACCCCAAAAGTTTCACCA